CACATAGAGGAAATGCATCTCCCATATCCTTTGAGCTGCCTGTGCATCTGTGCAGGACTTTTCCATTACAGGCAAGGATTTCTTGCGAGAAGAACTCAGTTGAGGAACAGATAACACTGTATGCATGATGTTGGTTTTGGCATTTGGTAACCAAGGAGAATTGTTAGCACAATCTGTATGTATTGCATACTTTCAGAGCCAGATGAGGTGTTTTTGTGTGCCTGATCCTTCATACAAGCAAAGTGCAGGGTGGTGGAAGCAGGCAGTACTTCAATTCCCAGGACCCAGATTGCATGTCTGAGCTCTTCTGAGCCTTATTTGGAATTCAAAAGCAAATCTAAATTGTAGCTTTATCTCCTGACTTTCCACCAGGCCACAGTAAAACCCCAGATCCGAACAACATAAAACCTTAGTACATCCAAGTATGCTTCATCTATCCTGGCGCTACAGGATTAGCACAATCAGGGGCAACAGGAGGGCTAAAGGACTCCCATACTCAAACAGACCTGCTTCCTGCTGGTGTCTGCCTACGATTTGAGGAGGATGGGATCTGAGGCTGGCCTCAAGCTGCCAGCTGCATCATTGTGAAGCAGAGCACAGCAATGCATATCACAAAAGCCTCCAGGAGCCACAGCAGCTCTTGAGTCAGATGAAACCTTCCCTGGGGACTGGGCTTACTGCCCTGCTTCCAGTAAGCTAAATCCAGAACGCAGCCATGCACCTTAAGAGATTCACTGGTAAACTAAGCAGAATTCAATTTCTGTTGCATCTTATTGAGTTAAAGCAATCCCAAATGACTTCAAATTTTTCAAACTTTGTTTTTCCATCCTTAATTTTCAGAGAGATAATGAAATTAGAAAGATGATATGGTATTATTTCAAGTGAAGTGAACCAGCAGACAGAACATACTAAGAACTTCTTTCCTCCTCTGCACCACTGTTATTGGGCTCACGCCTGCAAATTGTCCAGTCAATTAAATATGCAAATATGCATACTGAAAATTTGCATTTGCGTTGCCATGCTTCTATTCGTAGCCATGGCAATCAGGTATTCCAGTGACCAGTTACATTTTGAGTCGGCTCATTGCACAGAAACTATCACAGAAAATGTAGCATACATCTTTGAGTGTGCAGACATGGGCATGCAGTTCTAAAAGTCTGTGTCTGTACGACCTGTGAGTGTCTGTATGTTTGTCCTACTAGCTTGTAGGACTCCGTATGTCTCTGCCATCTACATCTACGCTTGCTTTACCTATAAACCTACAGTTTGAATTGCAGGATATTTAGGATTTTGTGAAGGCGCAGGGAAAGCATTGTGGGTGCAATCACGTGTATCTTGTTTCCAGCATGCAAAATCTTGTATCTGCAATGGCAAACACAGTAGCCTACAGGCTGAGGCTACCAAAATTTAGTGTGCTTTTCAATTACCATTAATTATTTTGCAGCCTTTTCTTTGAATATTTAGTGTGAAGTCTAGGGACATTTGTATTTCTTATATCCATAGGTCCAGACACCACAAGATTTTCAAAAAATGCCCACAGTTTGGTTACATTTCTCTTTAGTCTACAAATGCAGAGAGCTCATGTTTAGATTTTTATCAAGAAAAGAGATAGCAAATGTCAAACAAAGACAGTACCTGAAAGGAAATAAAACAAATTATTCAAAATGCTTGTTAAAAAGTTACAAAACATGACAGCATTAATGGCACTTAAAGCTATAAGCACTTAAAAGATTACCACCACATTTTTCTCAACTTCTTTTCCTAAATTTCTTTTTTTTTTTTCTGAGATTATGACTGCAGCTCATGTCTAAACCCAAACCCAGCAAAATGGGTAGAGAGCCCTGAGATTCTGTGGTTGCCCTGGCCCTCATTTAAATAGCATATATGCTCTTACGTCTATTTTTAAAAATTCAGATTCAGCTACAGAGAACCGCAGTTTGCTGACATGCAAAAGCTATAGCTTTCCTTCTGTCTTCATAGTCTTACAGCATTAAAATTGAAGGGTTTTTTTCAGTGGTAGAAAGTATGAATGAGAAATTCTTTTAAAAAACAGTTGGCCCATTGTTTTATACACCTAGCCAAATATCATTAAATTAATGTTTCTCTTCTTTTAAACAACATAGCACGAGATGTTGCATTTTCTTCATATGCACTTTCTTGCTGTGAATTTACATTGAATATTTCCTACACAAGAAAAAAAAATCCATTTCTTTCTTTTTGTTTTTTGTCACTGGTTAAGATAAATACCCACAGAGTTTTTTTCTTTGCCTTTTTTTTTTTTTTTTTAATGAAAAGAGTAATCTGACCCTTAAATATGTCTGTGTTGGTTTTTCAAACCAGCACCCAGCTGGTAGCTGTGTCCATGGACATTCTTTTGGAGTTTAGAAAGGTAATGCATCTGATTCAAAAATGAAAAAAAAATCTAGCTTGGATCACGTGCCAAAACGTAAACTAAGCCTTACTGAAAGTTTCTAGTTCACTCCAATCATTTCTCCTCTTTGTAATCACCAGGGGAAGGCTTTATGGATGCATACTCCATTATGAAGACAGACTCTTTATCATCCCTTTCAAACACTCTTCTTATATAGCTGCCGTTTGTCTAATATTATGCCATGGTAGAAGCACTCTATTGATATTGCCATGGTTCAGTCTCCTCCTTTGAGTCTTGCCCTGGTAATCTTACACAGGCTGAAATTTCCATGTGCGTAGCTTTCTGTTGCCATTCTGCAGTGCTGTGTTCCTGAATTGTTTTGGCAGAGCAAGCTTGAGTCTTTATGGCACAGTGAAATATTCTTCGATGCTATATAATTCAGACTGAATAAGGAGTCTGTATAAGGCACGTGTCTCAATATATATGTATATAAAAACACTAACATTGTAATTCAAGTCAAGCATCTTTTACATTTAATTTCTGTCTTCAAGTAACGCTTTGTTTTCATGTTCCCTTTCTTTGGTTTCATTGGGGATCACTCCATTCTCCAGGTCTGAGTGCTGCTGGATACAGTTGGTCAGGACTGCAGTGCTAGAAGAGATCTCAGAATTACACATCTTCTCTGTCTCCTCTTCCTTTTTTTCTTCATCCAAGGAGTAGTTTCGAAAGGTCTCATAAATTTTACGCACATCCTCAGGGATGGTCTTTTTGAGGTCTTTGTTTTTCCTTTTGGTCATCTTAGCAGACGATCCAAACTTGTTAATGATGTTGTCCTCAGATGCTCCCTGCCCATGCTTGTTGAGCTGATCTGACCCTTTAAGGCGCAGGTTGTTAGGCCTGTTGTTGATGCTTTCCTGAGATGAGGCTTTGAAGCGTCCTGTTTCCAAGGCTGTAAAGACAGAGCGCTTCTCTGGAGAGAGCATATCTAAGGAGTGGGCTCGCTGGTCCAGGCCCAGGCGCCTGCGCTCCATGCTCCGGATGGTGGCTGCCCGCTGAAGTTTGTCATGGATCTCCACGCTGAGCCGCCTCCGTGTCTCTCTGAACTCAGCTGTCACATTTGCTTTCCACTCAGCTGCGTGGGCTTTGATTTCTCCAACCTTTACAACAACAAGTAAGAGAAATTAATTAAAAAAAAAGAAAAAGCAAAATGAAGCGACAGTCTTTCCTATAGAAGAGTAGCACAAGCACTTTCTTGTCTGGTGTAGAATCAGAGACCAGTCCCAGCTCCAGTGCTTCCATCTGGACCCAAACTTCAGCAGCAAAGTGACTATACTGGGCAAGCTCTAAACACACCAACTAGTGACTAGCTAATGTCTTGTGCAGCATGTAACTTGTCCGCCTGTTTCACTTTTTGGCATCCTACACATTTTATAGCTGTGTTACATGATGGGAGGTGTTCATGCTAATCCTTCCTTGGTTAAGAACAAAATTCCTGACTTATAATATCAGAGGTAGATGGTCAGGAGTGAGCAAAATTAATCGCATGTAGTTATACAAATATGCTTCAGAACAGCACAACAACCAGTGTAGTAATACAGTAATGTATTTTCCCGTATTGCTCATGGGTGGAGCTGTTCAGTCCCACTAAAGGTTCTGTTCAGCGCCATAGAGCAATTAACTTTGGAAATACCTATTAGATAATTTCAAGTGGATCTCTGACTGATCCAGTCTAGAGTCTATTCTCAGGGGCAAATGTAGCTGTCTTTAATGGAGGTTTCCATTGCATAACTGTCCAAATGCCACCCTCTCAAGGCAGCTGGAGGAGTTGTCAACACATATTCTACGTGGGCACCATGAGCATGTCCTTAAATGTCTTGCTGCTTTGCTCTGTTTTACTCCTTTGCACCTGAGAACAGAATAATGTCTAAGAATAAAGGACCTACATGGCTGCTGAATTGTACAAATATTTCTTGCAAAATGGGGAAAAAGAAGATAAATGACCAAGCAATATCTCAGCCAACACAGGCCTTTTCGAAAGTTCAGCTAAAGGAGAACAGATCCAGGAGTACAATGTCTGCAGAAGCCCACCAAGGTCGATGCTTTGCTTGGGCTGCTGTAGCCAGAACTCAGTTTCTGCATTCAGTGATCCACAAGGAAGTCATCTTTGGTTCCTCAGGCCAGATGGACCAGTAGGTGTCCATTTAGAACTGTATTACTTGTGGCAGCAGGCATCTCACATTCACAATGAGAGGTCAGATTCCCACCTATAGGTACCTGCTGATGATCAGCCTGACAGCCAAACTCTCTGTGAAGAACCACTTTATTCATGGAGGTGCACAGAGTAGTGCAGATGCCTTCATAAATGATAAACAGCACTACCCCTCTGCCAGACTTTGTCTATGCCTGCTCTTTGGCTAACCCTGCCAGGTTAGCTTTACTAGTAATGCAGGAGGAGATTCCCTTCAAAATTGAAATTCTATTAATAACATCCTCCACAGTAGGCTTAAGCTCTAGAGTCATGGCAATTGCCTTCTATTTTCCACTCCTATTTGAGTGAAGCATTAGTAATACTGTCTTTGAATCATGGAGGGCATGTTCTGAGTGAATTTAATCATATTCTCCCTGATGCTGACTACTTAGTTTCTTCAATTTTTTAATAAAATGGTACTCAGTAAGGGGCCTGAATCTAAACTTCTTCAGAACCATATTCTGTGACATAAGGAAAGGCAGGAAAACTCAATATAAAACTCTGGTTTAAAGGCAATTTCTTGTTTCATAATGAAGAGAGCCAACTGAAGTCTTCAAAACCTATGCTTCTGCAATTTTTAAAGAGAGAACACTGAAATTTTTTATCATAAATTTGTAGCTAGTTTCAGAGTGAAGGCTGGCCTCTCTTATTCCATAATTGCAATCCTACTGGTGTATTCTGTGTATTTGGTAGTACTGATCGAGGTGTAACAACCTAGGTTGCTTCAGTTGCTTTTTTTCCGCCCTTTGTGAAGAAGCTAAAGATCAGAGCTAGCTGGATACCAAAGGCAGCCAGTGGAGTAAACCACAGGGAATATTGAGCATTGGTCATGCAGAGGAGCATCCTTCTTTAGACAAGCAGGAATCAGGCACTTAAAGCTCTCTTATGAAATGACAAACCACTAAAAAAATTACTAGTCATACCTCTTCTTTTGTCTTCTTGGACAGGACTCTCAACCAGTCTCCAATCATACTCAGGACAGCAGCAAAATAGGCAAGGCCAACAAGGATCCAGAACCACACTAAGGGTTTATACCACTCCCGGTAATGGATGTCAGCATTTCCTCCTGAAATAAGCATATACTTATGCTTAGGAATCACAAGATGCCAAAATTATGACAAACTACCTGCAATGCTGAGAAATTCCTGAAAGTATTTCTTGACTCTTGCCATCACCACTGTAGTTCTAATAATAGATGAGAGACCTGTCAGATGGGAGGAACACAGTCTGTTCTTAATTTAAGACTCTTTAAAATTACCTATTGTTCTGCTGCTATGTTACCCACCAGAGCACCTAGTACACACTTTTCTTTGTATTGCTCATACTCTGAAACAAGGCTGAAATTACTGCTTTGATAGTACTTGCAATAGCATGAATGCATTTCCAAGAAAAAAGTTTAATACAGCTAGTATTCCTTGTTCTGAACTGCCTGCAGCCTGGTAGTTGAGCAACTTTACAGTTCAACCCCCTCAGGTTATAGAGCTTCCAGATTTTTTTAACTACAGGATTCAGAGACCTATTTACAGGAGAAAGAAAAGTAGCTTTATCTTCTCCTCCAAATTAGGATATCTGACAGGAAGCCAAGCCTGCATCAGTCCTGATAAGAAGGATATACCATCTGCTTGGGTATCAGTTATAGGGATGCATTCTCTGGCCAGTGACTTGAGAGGAGATATGAGTCAACAAATATCCTATAGTGTTTTCATGCAAGTTTTAGGATGAGCTGGTAAAACAAGTATGTGAGACATTTGGCAACTCTAATGGACTATGAAGAGCCTAAAATAAACGCAGTAGCCAGGCTGCTACCTACCACAAAATAGAATAAATTTTTCCAAAAGAACGCAACCACAACCTCACTTTTGAGACTCCCAGACCTATCACAGTGCTAAGTGCACAGTGAGAGGCAGGCACAGCCCTGAGCTGAAGAGAGAGCAGTGAAGAGGCTGCACAGCCACATCCCTCAATGCAGGTGAAGAAACACCACCCTTGGTGGTACCTGTGTAAATCTCTGCCTGAATAGCAGGCCTACCAGAGGACCTGGGCAGAGGACTGCATATTTCCTGAACTCCAGTCTTTGGTTAGACAAGAGCTAGACACCAACCTGTACCTCTGTATGACTATAGAGAGCTTTTAGGATTTTCCCCCATTAAAATCACCAGACAACACAGTTCAGCGTTTCCCACTGAGCTTTTTTGCAATCTGAGACATTCCTACGACTCTTTAATTTTATTCAGACACAGTGTGAGCGTATGTACAGTCATCAAACGTCCCTGTGGAGGCTCAGACATTTGAGAATTGGCAGGGACCCAAATATTGGTTTTGATATTAATCTCTCCCCATACATCAAATGAATCACACTCTTTTTTTTTCTTCTTTAAGAGTGGGAAACAATGGGAGGTGGGGGCTGCTGTTGCTATGGTACGAGGTGGCTCTTCTGATCATACGTGTCCCTGAGGAAGCTTGCTGTGAAGCAGATTGTCTAGGTCTGTCTTACAGAGTAATCAGGTGACTGAGAAAGAATGAGACCACTTTTTTTCAGCCTATCAGATATACCGTTTTTCAGGCTCCATCCACAATTGTATTTCCAACAGGAGTACAAAAACTTTCCCAATTTAGCAAGAGTTGGGACACGTTCTAGGAGGAATAAGTCAGCATAGCTCCATTGATGCAGTTTTACCAAATGCAATGTAGTATTTTCCCTTTGATGTCCAAGGGACAGGGACATGGAGAGTTTAAAGTGACAGGAAATAAGTGACAGAAAATCTGTCCAAAAGCCAGCAATGAAAACCAAACCTCCTGGTGATCACCTGCCTTAAACTCTTATCATGAGATCACCCCTGAAGTTTTCTCATTCAGGGTCCTCCATTTGATTTTTGAAAAATCCTGATTGTTAGTAGCCATCCAACTGTGGATTATGTTCTCCTAATCATGTTGGATTTAGAACAATTTAATTAAATATTCAGGGCTTTTTTACTGTTGTGTTATTAAAGAAAAAAATACCAAAGTGTGATATGCTTAAGAAAAATATTGTGAATTATTTTTATTTCACACGGTGATGTCACAGAGATAGAATATCAGTGAACTGCTATTCACATTTAAGTGGATAAAACGGACCAAGCTCATACAATCACTTCTGTATCTGAATGCTCGTAAAACACTTTTTTTTCCATATCTGGGGCTCTCTTTGTTCAGTGTCTTTTTTCCTCAATAATTCATGTCTTCTATAACACTATGTCATAAAAAAAGGAAGATCACTGTCTTGTCTACGAAAAGACTTGTCTACAGCTCTTCAGCAAAGAAAATGTTATATATCCCTGTAGTTTCATTTGATGTTTTTAACTCATTCATATTTCACTGATTTATAGAAAGTAATAAAACAGTAGCATAATATGGCTGTTTGTAACACAGGCATCTTAATGCCTTTAATTAGGACCACTAACAGGAATGAGGTGTAGGGGTTGTGCGCTAATGGGAAAAAAAAATTCCACTTATTGTAAGCACCTTTTTATTAGCAAAGCAGTAGAGTGAAAAAAAAAAAAAAATCTCATTTCTCCAACCAACATTCTTGACTCCCTCTTTGGAAATTGATAAGGATGGATATTTATAGTTCCTGCTAGTACTGTATTAATCTTGGAGAATATCCTTCTAGCACTGAGATGCATACCCCATTGATCCTTCTTTTCCTACATCAGTTTTCCTTAACATGGCAACTGCAATGTCAAAATTTCTGCCAAGGTTAGAGGACAACATGCAGCTTCTGAAATGCTGCAGCTCCTCTAATAGCAGCCCACTACTGCATCCAACCAGAGATTTCTCCAGCCCTATGGCTCAGCCCTACTTTGTAAAAGCTTCATCCTTTCATCTTTTTGGCTACTTGCTTCAACAATCAGCCTCAGATTGAGACCTAATGGACTAATACAAATCTTGAATTCAATGGGAAAGTCATTTGACTTGTGAATAATTCATTGCATGATAAAGGATAATCAGGACTTCCCAGGCTCATGTTATCTACACTGCTGAAAGCTTGCACTCTGCAGATTGCAAGGCACCTGGATCTTAAATCAGCCTGGTGTCCTGTTGCACAGTAACCCCATCAGAAGCACCTGGCATCCTTCCACTGGAACATAATATATTGTGAAAAGCCTCCTCTCTACACCAGAAGACAAATTCTAAGAGCCGGGGCCCTTGTGCGCAGCACCTAGGCTCAAAGCTGCTCACCTGCTACAAAGTCACCGAAGCCAACGGTAGTCAGAGTGACAACCACAAAGTAGATGGACTCCAAGGCTGTCCATCCCTCGATGTGTTTGAAGATAACTGCAGGAATGGTCACAAAGACAATGCAGCCTGCCAGGATGAAGAGGATGGTAGAGATCACCCGGATCTTTGTTTGACTCACTTGCTTTTTCTAGAAAAAGGAAATAACAAAAGAAAAAAAATATTTTTGAGTGGATTTCTGGGACTGCATACCTTGTGGATGGCAGACTGAATGTGCTGGTGTCACGTGGTATTTTTCTTTCTGCCTTGTGTGAGCTTATTATGTAGAAAACCCTCCCTCTCTCTTAGTGACAGCCCTTCCTGGGTAATAGTAAACCTCTATGTCTGGCTCCAGAAAAATAACAATTCCCATTTTCCATGCGCTAGGCAGTTGCTAACCTACCAGAAACACAGCCTGAAAAAACAGTCTTGAGCTTCAGAAAGGCTCCAGTACACTCCCATTCAGGTTCAGTGTGTAAGAAAAAGTGCACACTCACACCGCCATACATATATATGTACACCAACGTTGCCTCACCATCTCCAAGCATTCAACAAGCAAGACCAAGACTGAAATGAAAGTAGACCTTTTCTTTCTTCTAAACCCCTGAGATTTTATGTAGAAATAATTCATGCTTTGGGTTTCCTAGACTTGCCTTGACTCAGGATTTCTAGCTTTCGTTCACAAATATGAAAGTTAAATTTCCTTTCAAAAATGGATAGCTACATTATAGGTTCAGGCCAGAAATAAAGGATTTATGTCAAATACCAAACAACCTGAGATAAAATTACCTATGCAAATTCACACTGGAAAGCTCTTGAACAAAGAGTGTGCTGCTATAAATCAAATACAAATGTGAGCAGTGTAGTTGCAACATTTTACACTCTGAGAGCTTATAAATGCTCACTTGTTTAATATAAACTTAGATTTTTTTTTTTCAGCAGTACTAATGCAAACCTGGATTAACACAATAGATTAATTTATTTCAGATTTTCTGTGCTGTAAGTAAACTCGAAAGTCAATAGAGTTTCATGAGAAACCTGGAAATTACTATAAAGCTTACTGTGGATTAATTCCAGTGGCAGTGTAAATTCTGTATTTATCCTGGAAAACAAATGTGGAGGTCACTGCAAGTCACATATTTCCAAATCAGTTTTCCAAATCAAGCATCTCTCTTAACCCAAAAATGAGATCTCATTTCAGATTAGGACATTGCCTAGACAGGAAATAAGACCTCGGAAGTTATCTTCATAATATACTGAAGGGATATTTCCTGAATTGGTTAATATCTAACAAGCTTGTGAGCAATACTACTGCTTCCACTAAAGCATGAGCATTTATTTTAGAAGTGCCACATTAGGCACTCATCTGAACTAGGATGCTCTGCATTTAGAACCCAGCTAGCAGAATAAATACTTCGTATTTCATAAATAGTTTTAGTTCTGAAACTGTTTGAGATGATTCCTATGCTTAAATTTTTTTCCTTTTTGTGTGTGTGCATTGTTTTCCGTGTCTGGCTGAACAAAAATAGTTAAATAGGATTAGTAATATAATGCCATGAATAAGGTTAATCAAATACAAGACATGGAAAAAACACACTGAAGTACCAAGGAGAAAAACAACACAAGAGTATAAAACCTGACTTGTCTTTATATTTCCTCTTTTCCTAGGGAGCCATTTTGAGCAGTTTGCTAAAAGACTAAAGGATTATCTATTTATGAACACACATGCACAATGTCAGGATTTCAGACTTACTTAGGTATAGTGAAGGGAAAGTAGCTGATCACATGGATGTTATATGGTGCCTTAGATTAGCACACTTGGTTTTTGTCTTGGAGGACCAGGATTTAACCAAGTTCCTGTTTATTTACTGGTTTGGCCAAGGTGACTTACTCACTTCTACTAAATGCTTCAGTTTCCAGGTACATGAAAAAGAAATGGCAGACACCTGACTACAGTGGAAGTTACAAGGCACTTGCAGTGTTGTATATTACTGGGAATCCTTGGACAAAAAGTACTTTGGAGCTGCCAAGCACTGCTCGTAAAGCAAAGTTATGCACAGTAAACCTTCCTCCAGTCCCCATATAGCAACATTAAAATACATTTCAATGTGTGTCAAGGTTTTCTTGTCTTGTGCTAGAAACAGGAGTGGAAAGAATGGCCTACAAATCAGAACCAAATGTTCAGGACATCCACTTGTTCATGAGTGATAAATTCAGCCAAAAGTTGTTGGGTTTGTTGGGTTTTTTAAGTTAAAATGGTAACGATGTTAATGAGAGGCTCTGCAGAAAGGCCTGACTCATGGTTATTGTGCTCCTCAGTCACTCCCACAAAAGCAGAGCAGCTGAGGGTCTATTTTTCCCTTACCCTTTCACTGGTACAAATGAAGTCAGAAAGCAATGGTGAATCAGGCACAGCATTTGTAGAGCATAAAAGTAATGCTCAGAAACAGAATTACTTAATAGACAATGATATATGAAATTCAGGATACAGATGAAAAGAGTGTCTTTTTACAGTTAAGTTAGATGTGCATTATGGGGACATAAACAGTAGAGTGTAACTGCTATAGATCGAAGAAATGCTAAGGTGTAGATGTCATTATTAGTGGAATATGTACATTATAGTAATAACACATTACAAAAAAGTTGTCTTGCATATTTTCCTTGTGGATGAAGCTGGTCTTGTTGTTCTCCTACAAAGAACATAATTTTGTGCTGCCCAGGTTCTCAGGAATAAGGAAACACAGCCTTTACATTCCAGTTTTGGCACAGTTCTATTAGGATGAGACTAGATTAGCCTAAGCCACTGCAGTATTATACTGTACCAAGTCATTATTAAAAGAAATATATGTTTATATAAAAATATACCAATGACTGAGAAATCAGAAAAGGTTCATATCTCAGGCCTTTAACTTACAAAGTCTGAAAAATTAGGCTGATATTTTCACAAGAAGATAAAAAACACCCATAAATTCTGCAAAATAAGGTTTTTTCCACAGGACAATATATTTCACAGGATCAACAACCTTACACCTTTCTGATACTTTTGCGCTCTTTTTCCAGTCTAATGCCCTGATCACCATGTATAGAATTGGTTTCCCACTTGCTTGCTCTTCTTGCCGCCTCTCCCTCCTCCTACCTGCTCTCGCCTTATCCAGGACTCTATAATAGGACTCCAAGTAAACTCATCAAGTACTGCGCATCATTGCAGTGTAATAGGTCTGTCTGTCAGAAACTTCGGTGTGTCCAGTGTTCGCACAGTACGTGAACTTCTAACAGTCTTGTGGAAAATGCTCTCCAGCTGTACACTGGCTGTACTAACAAACAAGAATTGCACTTAGAATTCTAACACTGAAGGAACTTTTTGTTTTAAACAGTATTCGCAATCTGAAGCCAAACACTGGCAAATAGCCGATGAACTCCAGCCAGGCTAACAAATCCTCTGAGCCAATTTTGTGGTTTAAGAACAGAATTTTCTATAGGTGTCAAAATGAAACATTAAGCGAGGCCTTTCTCCAGGAACAGTTGTTCATCTCACAGTCGTTTAAGAAAAATAAAAGCAGTTTTGAAAGAGATGTTTTCTACTTCTTTTTTTTTGTTTTAGATTTGTTTTACCAACAAGTTCTCTCCACATTGATGAAGCAGGTATTAACATTTGTTAATAAATAAATTAGTGCCTGCTAATGAGAGAGGCTGCAATTTAAATCCACCTAGAGATGATTTGGAAAAGATTAGAGGAGGAATATAGGAAGAAAAGATGGAGAGTTTTCAATCATATAACAACCTGTGAGAGGTCATTTCCATTTACTAATGAAGGTGCTGATTTTACTTTTAAGGTGGTTAAGTGCTAAACAAGCAACATAACTACAGATGACATCATCTTGCTTACATTAATTCAAACAACCTGATGTCAATCTGCTCCAGTGCCAAAGGGGTGAGGACGAACGTTCTCATGGAGACATCTTTATCAGTGGAATTCTTATGCGTCTTTTTTATCAATGAGTGTGACCTTGCTTTTTCCTTGTTTTCTATCACATACTTTGGGGTCTTACTGGTTTTGGTCTTATCCAATAATTTCAGGAGTTAAAAGAAATCCCTTTTTCTTTTTTCTTTTTTTCCCCTCTCTCTGCTCATTGACTCAGGCAAAATTTTTCTGACCTTACTGTGTCAACAAAAGGACTAAACAAGGTTCTTAAGTTGCCAAGCTGAGGCCACAAGGATGATATATATTCCTTCCAAAATGGAGTAGATTGTTTTTTCCAAGTAGAAGACATTAAGCATGGAATAAAAAGATGCTACAGTCATTTTTTCAGACTAAAATAAATGCTAAATATGTGGAATATATATTATTTCCATGAACAGCATATTTCAAATATGCATATTCCAAGATTTTGTAGTGTCACCTCCCATGTCACAGAAACTCCCCCAATACACAGTACTACCCAACCAAAAATAGAACTGGAACATTCACTGCTTCACAGTGAGCTCAGATGGTTCCTCTGTCTTCCAAACATTTTCTTTTCTGCATTCCTGATGAATATCCCCAAGACTCCAAGCAAGTTGTTTACCTTTCTGGCTAGATAACCAGTGGCATATTTTTAGTACCAGTATAGTGTGCCTTCATGGAACATGCTGTCCTCATCTCTCCACAAGGTTCTGCATTTTGAAGCACTCCTCTAAAGAAAACACATTTCTTTAACATTTCTGTTGTTCCCTTCACCTACTCCTAACTTTATGCCCTCTCCCATGCTGCCAACTATTCATGGAACAGATTGTCTCTGCCCATGCACTAATTAAACAGCTTGTCTTCTAAATCACTTTCTCCAGATCAAAATATTTTAACAAGAGGAAAGCCAGTCTTTGTACTCAAAACATAAAACAAAATATCAGATATATAAGTTCTATTTTTTTTCTCTGACACAAACATTAGGTATGTCCTTAGTCAAAACATTTTTGCTAGGCTACTGTAGACAGTGCAGATAGACATAGGTTCACACTGCTTGCCTTTCAGATCAGTCAAATCAAGCCAGCCCTGATCCAGAGCCTGGCATATACCTCAGTAAAGTGCAATGCACATCTCAACAGGCTATACAGAAAGACTGGCACAGCATTGGGCTCGCAGAGCTCCTCAGTGATCAGCAGTATGGTCTCATC